GACGTTCAAGGCTAAAGGCTTGAAGCTGACCAAACCTGGGACAGCTTCCCTGCAGCTTTTGCAAGGGTAGACATGATTCGAACTCTGCGGGGTTTCTGAGGTTCATAATTACTGTGGATGGACGAACTCCATTTCGCACCGCCTCAAAAGCCATGAAAAACCATTGCTTGTTGGTCGTATTTACAGGGGAATCATCAGAAACCAGGGTTTCTTAGGTGGTGCGAAATGGATTTCGCAACCATCCACAGATTTTTCTGGGGATCATTTCTTTGCGGCCTTTCGCTTCGCAGGCTCCAGCCCGGCTCGCTCTGCTCCTCCGCAGGCAATGCCATCTGTCAAGAGCTCATGGATTTTCAAAACATCAAAGATACCCTCAAAATCGGCTGGTGCAGCGGCTAGTGGAAATTTGTTCAGATCCCCATCATGCAAACGGTGTCCACTAAATCTGCTCCAAGCAGTTTCAGACTTTTGTGGGAAAGATGGGAGGGGCATCAGAAGACGAAGGTCAGACTAAGAAAAGGGCGGACTTTGCCCCATGTCTGAGAGCGGAGCCGATATTGTTGACTGTGGCTCAGGTGGCCACGTTTCGCGTGCTGCACGGGACATCCCCCACATGTCTGATGTTAAGGGTCCGCTCAAACGCATGTGGAGGCATGGTCTACTTTTGAGGCTTCTGAGGGGAAGCCATTTTTGGGGTTGTTAATCCCAGGGGAAGCCAAACAGGGAGTTTCAAGTTCCCGCTGTGCGCAATTAGATGAAGGTCTATCGATTGGCCATAGGGCGGCCCCTGTTGTAATCTTGGATCTCTTCAATGCTTCTATTTCCGAAAACATTTGGCGCCAAGAAAGGGGGGGGTTCCCGGTTCCCCAAATGAGTTTCCCGGTGTTGCGGGTATGTGGAGAACCGGAGCTCATGAGCGGTAGGTTGGGCCGCGGGCCGCGCTTGGCAGTGCTCGCCCGCCTGGCAGAATGGCGCGGGTTGGCGCGCGCGCGAGAGCCGATCCGATTCGGAGACATGAAACCAGGGGTCCGGGGTCTTTCGGATTTGAAGGACCGCAAGTTCTTTGGTCCAGGCGATCAAGCTGATGGAGAGCAGGGCTGAAGTGCCTTGTTGCTCTCGGGTGCTGACTTGAGCCTTTCGACATGTTGGAAAATGCGGCTGTGGGTCCCCTTACCAACCTCCCCCAGCTCCCCTTTCAAAATGCACTGAGTGAATTATAACGACCTCACACGACCTCACCCCAAATGGTGGTTTATATGGGCAATGGCCCCACCCAGTATTGAGAAGAAACCTCCCAAAAGCGGGTCTTCACCTAGATCGCTTTGTGCACAGCCCAAGTGCCTGGAACAAATTTCGGCACCTGGGCAACTGAGCCATGAATCCAGGCAGCGCCTGCAACTGGAGCAGCAGCTGCTTCGCCAAGGCAATTGGGGAGTTGGGGTAGCATCGTATTCCAATAATATATATATATATATACACACTATAATATGATATGTATGTTATGTTATGTCATGGGCACAGGATTGCCCCTGAATCCTGCGCTGGGCACAGATGGGCAGCGATGAAGAATTACGAGAATTTTAATGTGTCAGAGCGACACGTTATGTTATGTTATTTTATGTTATGTTATGCCATGTCATGTCATGACATGTTCTGCTATGGTATGTCATGTCATGTCATGACATAGTATGGTATTTCATGTCATGTCATGACATAGTATGGCATGTTATGTCATGTCATGACTTGTTATGGTATGTTATGTAATGTCATGACATGGTATTGCATGTGATGTCATGTCATGACATGTGTCATTACATGTTATGTTACGTTATGTCATGTCATGACATGTTTTTGTAATGTCATGACATGGTATTGCATGTTGTGTCCTGTCATGGCATGTGTCATGACATGTTATGTTACGTTACGTCATGTCATGACATGTTATGTCATGCCATGACATGTTATATTATGTTATGGCATGTCATGGCATGTTATGTTATGTTATGTCATGTCATGTCATGGCATGACATGTTTGTGTTATGTCATGTCATGACGTGTTATGTTATGTTGTGTTATGTTAAATTGTATTATATTATATCATACACTACATATATATATATATATATATGTATATTCATATTGTATATATATATATATATAAATACATATGATACTGTATTAGATATAGATATGTATATATATATATATGCATGATATGAAATTTTTTTATACTACACCATACGTTATTTTATGCTATATTATAAACGTGTATAGTTATACAACATAGTACTGTAAGAGTCATGATTCCTGAGACCTCTCATGGGCCCTCCAACCATTCGAGGCGCCGTAGAAACAACCGGTTAGGGTCCCAAGACAATCGAATCGGACCCTCATGGAGAGCTTGCGAGTTTCCACAGTGAAATGCTTTTGTTCCGCTTTTCGGACGTCTAGAAGCGCGCGGCATCGTGGCTGATGATTCGCTTGGAGCACCAAGCTGGTTGACAATTATGCTTTTCTTGTGTGGGCCCAAACGCATCAAAGGGAATATCCATGTTCATGCTTCATGGGAGCAACGCGTGCCTATGCATATGGAACACTGTTTGCTACATTGTGAGTTGCCAAAGATTTCGATTCCCGTTTTCAGCCAAACGTATTCATAGGATTGGAACCCCACTTAGGCATCACAAGGATGCCTCCCTGCACAGGTTGAGAGTTTGCTATTTCCTTACCACTCCAAGGGTACCCAATCAACAGCGACCCATTTCTGCAATGGCTTGATACCATGTTTCTACATGTATGCTTGAGTTGCAAACGTGTTACGAATTATTTGAGCCGGCCATGTTCATGGTTGTTGTAGGGAAACAATTTACATTCTCGTGTATTGTGGTTTAGTGGGAAATCCCCACTAAAACGCTAAGATTTAAATTGTTGCTCCCCTTCCAACGTCAACCAAGTATTACTGGTGTGGGTGATGTTTTTGTTGTGGCAAATTGAAGGCTGCCAGAATTTGATGGTCCCTGTGGGGTAAGATTGTCGTGCATTGATGTGTTTGCATCTGCTTCATGCATGCCTGTGCCGTTCTGGTCGAGATTTCTCTGCTCTATTTGACCGGGAGTCAGAATGTGGGCAGGCTCGCTATGGTTGTCTTTTACTGGTTCCCTTTCTGGTTTGTGTGAAAGGGAAAACACATGGACGTCACCCAAATTTGAGGGAGCATTTCCCCATTTAAAGCACACCCCTGTTACCCCCCGTTGCTCTGTGGATTCCATCCTCTGAATCCCTTGATGGCGGGCTCTCCAGAAACCCTCAACCAACCAAAAAGAAATGGTTGCCTTTTCCACCGAACTGGTCACGGGTTGCAACTGAATTACCCTCTTATGGGCGTGTCTCACAATAGTGGACCCCTCAATAATTACCCTCTCCGAAACGAGGATTTGTTCCCCCCCCCCCCACAAAAAAAGGCTTCGATGTTCCTTTGGTTTCCCAACCTCTCACAGACCCCCCAGGGGCCTTAAGGCCTTATCCCTTTCTTCATTGTCCTATCCGAGTCTGATCCGAGGCCCAACGCCCATTCCCAAGGCAGCCAGAAGCTCGAGCGAAGCCGTCCATTTGGTGGGCGACGTTTGAACGAACGTGGGTGGGTTCCCATGGATGCAGTCCCTTGAACATGGGACATTGCTGGGGTGAAGTCACTTGTTTCTGGTTCAGGTGGGCGTTTTTCTGAAAATGGCAGTGGTCTTCTGATCTGGTAAAACCATGGTTATACCCCACTTGAGTGCCTCTTTTTGAACATCCCAGTAGGGGAGATCCGGCGTGCAAGCTTTTTGCGTGGGTTGGGAGCAGAGCAACCACCGGTGCTCCCTTAAGAAACATGGTGCGAATTCAGCAAACCTTGACCTCCCCGTTGACTCACTTGCCAACCATTTCACCTGTTTTGTTTGCTTTAAGTGCCGTGGTAAGTGGGTTGTAGCCATTGCCAGCCGACTGATACCATGCCGCTTGAAGTCCAAAGGTTCTCCGATTCCCCCCCTTCTTGGCTCGTTTGGAAATTAACACTTGCTGGTAGGAATGAGGGAATGACCCCTATAAATCATGCAACTGGTGGTTTCCTTTAAGGAGATCCCCGTTGAACCGGTTCATTCCCAACACCCGGACTCGTTGTCCTTCCCTAACTTGCACCAGCAAGTTCAAAGGAAACGAGTAGGGAGACCGGCTGAGGCTGAGGTGCCGGGCAAGCCTGCGCGCGCGTCGAGGTCTTGCGCGGGCGTGGTTGGGGGTAAGACATGTGTTGTCTTGGTCAAGCCCAAAAGCAAAATTTGCGACTGCAGCCGCTCAGCATGTCCATCCAACCCAGGCTGAAGCAAATCTTTTGGAGCAAGCTGAAGCATCTCGCGGTTCCCGGCCGTGCGGTTCCTGGGGCTTGGTCTTTTCTTTCGGATACCCACGAACAGTTCTTCCTTTAGCAGGGGATCTGAGGACAGCCCAGTGCAGCCACCGAAATGGCGAGTTTCCTCTTTGTTTCCCTTGAAACCTCACGGGAAAGGGTGTCCGCTAAGGAGTCCTCTCTCAAACGGTCGATTAGTCGCTTGTGAATCGGAGGGATAAGCCTCTCGGATCTGTTTTTTGTTTGCTCTTTCCCAAGAAAGAGCACGCCCTTGCACCCCCAAGGTTTTATCAGTTCTGGGTTCCTATGAAAGGGTCTCTTCCGTGCTTTCCTTTGTTCCGTGCTTCAGCGAGGTTCGGTCAATGTCTCTAGTTGTCCCCTGGCTGAGCCAAAAGAGATGTCGCTTTTGCAGCTGGGAATGCTCGTGTGAGATCTGGGTCTATTTTTTCGGATTTTTTCGGAATAACCTTGAAGGCGGACTTTCTAAGTTTCACACGAAAACCAGGGAGACTCCTATTTTTCCCCAAGCAAAACCTCAGGACTCCTGGTTCATTCTGGGACCTTCGGCTGAATCTTCCCATGTTCCTGAAGCGTATAGCTTGGCCCGCTCCGCTAGGAGACCTCAGATCCCCAGACGCAAGGCCGACGTTAGAAGAGACGCCGATGGTCGCGGGATTTCAGTTGGAAATCTACACGCTCGCGTCAAGGGGAAGCAAAGGGAGGAAAGTCCCTGCGAGTTGTATGCGGAAAGTCCCTGCGAGTTATATACTTGTTACTTTATGTCAAAGGGACTGCGCTTCCCACCAGTTGAGTCAGGGTCAAGCCTGGGAAAAGTGTTATGCGCACCCTGGTGTTTTTTGGGGGGGTTTAGTCGCACCAGGTGGGGGCGGGGATGTCCATATCGCAAAAATTGGCCAAACTCATCTCCCACGACAATCTGCGCTTACAATCTTTCACCCTTTGTGGGACTAGGGACCTTCATGAGGCCATGATTCTTGGGAAGGGAATATGGGGAGGAGTCATGTTCAGAATCCAGTCACTGCAACATGTTTTGCCCCCCCCCCCCCCCATTTCATTCGACACAAGTGAGCCCGAATGGTTGTCTACTGCTCCTGAAGGATGTGCTGCCATTCCTAGCCGTATGCAGCTCATTGATGGGTTAGTTTCAATAGCCGAAAACATCAGCTGATTTCGAGGATCCCCCCAAGCTGGTGATGCTTTTTCTGCAACCGAGAAAGGGGCCCTGGTCTCGCTGGCTGTATGGTGCTCCAAACCCATCCTTCCGGATCAAGTGGTACCTGGATCCTGAAGCCACCCTGAACAATGGGCGATTGCCCCCCAAAGTTATGGGGATTTTCATGTCTAAAGGCAGTTTGAGCGTCTAGGTAGACATTTAGGCAGGTGTCCGGACGCACAGGGACGGACAAGCCCCTCTGAAATAGCATCGGGTAGCCAGTGGTGCGAGGGGGAGTTTGACATCAGAAAATGCGTCTGGTTCAAAGTGTGCCTCATACTTGGTCAACTTTGAAACATGTAATATTGGGAGGAGGAGATCCCAGGTAAATGGTTCATACCCATGCTGTGAATAAACAAAATCATGTACCACGTGGTTGCCGGTTTGTCCCAGTACTCATTGTGTGTGTGTGTGTTGCTTGAGGCTACCCTTCAGGGTGGTTAGGAGAACTAGAAGGAAGCAGGCGAAAACCCAACAAAAACTCAAACAAATGCAGCATGTCAGCAACCATAGCTGCCCGAACATACATGTGCTTGGATTGTTTTGTCGAGGGTTTTGCGAATTTTGAGCTTCCTCCAGGTGTTTGGGAGTTTTGCATTTTCTGATGGCGTTTCTGGTGTTTCCATCCGCGACATAGTTGCTGAGATGCTTTGGAATTCTGGATTTGCTGTTTGGGAATTGTGCAATATCAGAGGGTTTCTTGCCATGTTTGGATGTATAGATCTCGAAAAAAGGATTCTCGAGGTTTTGTGGGAATTTTCAGACAGGCCAACAGCTATCAGACAGAGACTTTGCTCCAGGCCAAAGAATTGCGAGTTGAAGCAAACGGGGTCACAAGCTATGATCGGTATTCGCTTGCATAGATTATGCAAATGACAGACAGTGAAACATGTTTGTTTGTGTGTTGTGTATTTGATGCAACCACCATTGTTTACCCTTTCAAGAGTATCCAGAGAATGGGCCTTGCCATTGTAAGGGGGTTGAAGCCTAGGACACACCAACTTAGTATGTAGGTTGTGCCCATCAGTGACTGGGGGTCATTCCTCTTTCCCTGCTACACTGCTACAATCACATTTGCTACATTTGAGCACCCAAGTACCAGGGCCTAGATAAGGTAGAATTAAACCCACCCTAAGGGTCTCGATTGTTTTTGGGACCTCAAAACTGGCTCTGTTCTCAGGGGCTTTTGGGGGCGGGGTGCGACCCATAATCCCAAAAAAGAAAGACATGTGCATTGGGTTCCCGGGACCCGGGCAGTGGAATTGAGAGCCCACAGGGCTTCCGAGAGGTTGGCACCTATGCCAACATCTCCCGGCGCGTGGCCGGCACGGTGACCCGAGTCCAGAGCGAGTCCCAAGTCGCGAGTCCGGAGCGAGTCCCTCCCAAAGATTGGGGAGGCATCGACACCGAAATCCGAAAGGACATGAGAGACATGTGGAGAATGTTTCCCCATGTTTAGGGGTGATTGAAATCCTGAAGTGAACATGTGTCAGATACCGAAGCCCGCTTTGCTGCCGCGCCTTACCCAAGCCACGAGCCGCCTGAATGTTTCCTTCAGTCCGAGTTCCTATGCCGTGGTTTGTCTTAAAAGAACATCATCACGCCCACAAAATATACAATCAAGGACAGGCCCAAATATTGCGAAGTAGATCATCGTATATCAAACGGAGGGTTTACAAATATCTTGCAACCACTTTCAATATGTCGAACCGACTCCGCCACGTGAATCGAACCGGATGTGACCCCCTTTAGGCTCAGGATGACCATCTGCGTACCTTCAATCAGGACATAAACGGAAGCCTCTGTGTGTTTGTTTGTGTGCGCGGACGGAGATCAATCTTGGGAGAAGAACATGTCTGTCCCTCAGTCACAAAGTGTAGTCTGTTGATCAATAAGCATGTTCAGACAAATAAGAGAAATGTAGGACCCCGTCATGTTACATATGTCACTTCTGTTTTTGATTGGTGAACTCCAGTCCCAGCTCTAAATGCTTGGATCCTATGGGCACGGGGAGTTCATCTCTGGCGCACCATCCAAACATGTTGAAAGGGTGAGCCCTCCATGCAGGGTACATCTCAAGATAGGGGGTGCTTCACCTTTTAGGGATGCCAGAGGAGGAGGATTTTTAACCACTGCTATGATGCGCCCAGGCGGCACCAAGTACCGTGCCAGCATTGCACTGTGCAACTTGCGGTTGCAGGCCGGCCAGAAAGGAAGCGACATGGATATCGACCCAGCAAAGCTTTCTCAAGGGGGCTTGGGGGGGGGGGATGGCCGGGGGGGAGGGAGCCCAAATGAGCCCTCAATAAGCAATGAATAAGCTAATATGCGCTTAGCAAGCACTTGATAAGGCCTAAGTCCTTTTTGCGGGCTTACTTGTCCCTCTCCCTTTTTCCCGGCCCCCCCGGACTTTCCAATCGCGAATGCCACGAAGATGCCCGGATGAAGAATTCCTCTGGTTGATTCATAGCCGAACCCCAAACCACTCCCCAATTTTAACGGTTCCCAGATTTGACTGATAGTCATGTTTAACCTATAACTACCCACAGCCCTCGAGGGTTGCCGTCACCCCTGAATCCATCCTTGTCCTGTCCAGGGTTTTGGTTTAGGGTTTAGTTTCAGATGTAGGTTAGGCAAGCTGCTAGCTGCTAGTGCATGTCTTAGAAGCTCCCAAGAAGTATCGGCTAGCTTTGTCCGAGCGGCACATTAAGCAGCCGCCGTCTCTGCCCTAGCGCTTGGCTATGTCTAATTCAAGCACGTGGTAAGAGGCGGATTAGGTCTCTAAGAAGTCTAGGTTCGGGCGTTGGGGTGTTGCTTTGGGGCGCAGGCAACTCTCAGGGGCTGGCTGTATAACTTTAGGTGTGCAGGGGTTCATGTATGGGTCCATACCTTTGGCCTTTGAATGGTGGGGGGCATTCTACTTGCAAGGATTCATCACTTGCAGGGACAACCTCCTTCAATAGGGGACGGACTTATGAATCCGGGGTCAACATTCGCACATACCCCTCCACCCATTGGCTCCGAAAAAGGCGCGGCCGAGATCTTGCTTGGGAGCTGCCCAAGATGACCTCGAACTCCTAGTGCTGGCCTCAGGCATCGGGGCATGGGTTTCTTCTTTTGTGGGCAACCCCGAATTTCGGGCTTGGTTTCAATCACATGTTAGGAACAACCGGGGCACGGGTCCAAATTTGTTTGTTCCCCATGTTGGGGATTTGAAGTTTCAAATGGTGAGGTGACCACGCCAAATATAGGGAAACAATGCTGAAAAAAGGGTAACAGCGCCAAGAATGTGTAGTACTCAATGGATTTCATCCACTTCATGGGTGTCTTTGGGGCTCGACTTCTGTGAGCGAAACGTCTCAAAGAAGCCGGCGCTGGGACGAAGCCTTCGCCTTCTGGAGGCCAAGCTGCGGCGTGACGTCAGCAATGCCAGTGGTCCTTTTGAGGACCGCGCGCCTGCCTGAGGAAATCGTCGGGCTCCCACGGCTTCCCTTTGGAGGTCTTTGGCTAGGTCCCCCCAGCTAGGTGCCCTTTTTTACCGTTTTTTTTTGTTCCCCCTTTTTTTTTTTGTGCTGGTTGGGAAGGTTCCCCTACTATATTTGACTACGGAAAAAAAAAGGGTAGCCTTATTCTAACCTCTCTACTGGAGGACCTAGTTGGAAATCAAGGAGAAACCGAACAAACATGGGGCGGGGAAAATCCCCAACGTTTGAGATGTTTCCCTTTTTGGATTTTGATCAAAAGATCCTGGCTGGGGCTGCAAATTGCAAGTTGTGACTTTTGGCTTCAGTGTTCTGCTTTGGGCTATCCACAAGCCAGCGCACTACACCTAAACCCAAGAGCCTCAAGCCACCCATTCCCATCTTACCCTCACCTTCAATCAAGGCTCCGCTTCAAACCAGCCCTGCAGAACTCGAACACCTATGTCAATCCAAGCCTCATGCTCAAACCGAAATCTGCCCAAATCAATCCCAAGCCATCCCACAACCCACCTGAACCCACCCAATTCAATCTCTGAACCCGCCTTAAACCAAACGAACCCTCATCCAGCCCAAACTCCACCCCAAATCAGCCCTAAAATGTCGCCCTCCTGAAAAAAGTAAAGCGATAAACACGCCAGCAATCACATCCGCCACGGTAAAATCAGATGTCAATCGCAGAGCTTACATTGACTTGCGCCTAATGTCGAATTGTATCATCACGGCTTGCCTTGAATCACTTTATCCAAATTCGGGTGGGCAATTACGCTGTTGTTGACGAGCCCGGGAAGGGTAGAAGGGAGACAAGTCTGACAACACCGTTTCTCGATACATTTGAGTTTCCCAGAGAAGTTGGTAATATGAATTGGGGACTCTTCGTGTGGACACTGTTTACATGGAGAAGCAGGAGGTGTCCAAGTATGGCCCCAAACCATTGCCTACAAGCTTTAATGGTTGGACCACAGAACCCGCGCGTTGGCGGACATGAGTTCATACCCACCGCCACTAGTGTTCAACCTTCCCAAACACGCAGAGGGCCTGATAACTCTTTTGGTAAAGTATTGATAAGTGGCCATGGTGGTTCTATAGGGTGGTTTGAATCCCAGAGTTAGTTGGCAGATCTTCGGGAATCCCCCAGCTGTTCTCAGCCAAAGATGCTCCCCAGGTGCGGTGCGCGCTGTCACCAGAGGCGCTTCAGAGGGACCGCCAATCGCCGCACGAAATGGAGGCTTTTCTTGGTTGATTCGTTGAGGGGACCCTGTGGGGTTGTGAACAAGTTAGAAAGAAGCCACCCACCTTAGAGGGTGTCAGACACAGCGTCAGGCGTTGTGCATTCAAAGATCCTTGCCCCAAGAAAGCCAAAAGCAACATGCTCTAACCAAAGCCCAGACCTCTGTTCCTTCTTTTCTTGAGGGCTCTCTTTGAAGCCTGCCAAAATGGGGTGCCTGAACCCTCAAACTCCTCATAGTAAAGGGAAATTCACCCCATATTTTTTCAACAATGGCCCATGTTCAAGGGAACTTTGGGTCCAAGCACCCCCTTTTGTCAACCATGTGCTCATGGTTTGGGCTAGTTTTCGCGTGTAGCTTGGCAGCGTCGCCGCCTGGTTTTTCGAGGCCTCTTCAGATCGCCTGGCTGTTGCGCGCTGTGGCATCACCTTGCAGGCGGGTTGCGGTTTCGGTTTTCGTCTCTCACGTGTGTACGCTAAGGAATCACGTGGAGAGGACCCAAAGTCAGTTGATCCCTACTCGGCGGTTTGGATTGGCTTGGAAAGGATTTGAAGCCGTGGTTAGAGAGGGTAAATAGGAAACCCCATTTCAGCACCAAACCACCGGGCTCCAAAGCACCAAATAAGGAGACGCTCGCTTCCAAGGCTTCCCTCCGAACGGGTAGTTCGGACTCGGGGTCACCCGTCAGCTTAAGAGGTTCCTCCATGTCGTCACAAAAGTGGCTGATTCAATGGAACGCACCAGCAAGCTGGAACCTGGAGTGTGGTGACATCTGACAACATACGAGGTGAAATACAGAAATGCAAGGAGGTAGTTTGGTACTACTGTAGCACATGGGCTCCACCCGAACACTAATATGATACTGCCACTTATTTTTATTCGGCACTTACACTCTCCTCTCCTCCAAAACCCCTGAAACGTCATTTATGTCCTTCGGTACTCGCTCATAACCTGGTCCAGGGAAATCCAGCGACTCCTGTAGGCCTGGATGAAAAATGTGTGTGGGGGCATTTAATTTTCAAGTTGCGATTTGTCAATAGCGCATGGGGGACAAGCACTAACTCTTATGAGCCACTGTTTGACCGGGGTTTTCGGCGCGCCCTTCCAAAGGACCCCCTGCAAGAGGAGTTGGGGATGTTTCTTTGTTTCCTAAGGACGTCAAAAGGCCAGTCCCGGTTGGATGCTTCCTCGGTGAGTGGATGGTTCCCTTTGGAAGCTGGGACGGACGGACCCTTCAAATTCATACAACGAATTGTAGAAAAGGTTTGTTTCGGAAATTGCCGTGTCAAGAAAGATGCCCCCCTTCCCCAAACCCACCCCCTTCCCCCCCCTTCCCCTCCAAACCAACCCCCCAAATTACCCCCCCTTCCCCTTACGAGGTAAGGTGTAAGGCGAGTCTCGCCGCGAAGCGGAAGTCGAGGTGGCCACCAGCGCGCTCTGCCGCCGGGTCCTGCTGAGCCCCGCCGGAGCCTCGGTTTCGCCCTGGGCCGACACATGGGCCACAAGGGGCGGGGTGCTTGGGAAGTGGGGCGTCAGCACTTTCCTAAAAAAGCAAAAGAAAGGGAAGGATATACAAAACCAGGGTCCATGAAGAGGGGGTGCCATATATATATATATATACTCCCCAGCTTACAATGGAAGACCCAGACACCTCCAGTAGACAAGGAGGTCTGTGGGGTGATTCAAAACCCGGCTCTTTCTTTGTTGCATTTTGCCCTTTTACGGGAGCAAAAAGCAACCGAGGTTAGTAAGCCTGGTTCGTCTCCCGCTTAGGAGAGCAACCGTGATGTGTGTTCGGGCCGATGCATCATCCCAGCCCACACTTTCAACAACCCAGGTTCCGTTTTGCGCCCCAATGCGTCCCGTTTTGTGCACGTGTCATGTCTGTTGCTTGCCGCTTTGTGTCGCGACAATCTCGCGTTTTGCGTTGCGAACATGTCGCGTTTTGTGTCGCGGAAAATCTGAACCGCCCCTACCTACTTGCCAATCGATCGCACCGAATTCGACCGGGCCGGAAGATCGCGGGCGCGAAGCGCAGTCCGGGTCGTGCAGGGACTTGACCCCGCTGGTTTCTGGTTGAGTTTGCTTTGAAGCTATCCAAAAGCGAGTTTGAGACATACCCATGTGGACTCTGGAAGCCAACATGAACCAACCATGAGGGGTCAATTCCTAGCTTCGACATATTTCCATGTGAGCGGCAGACAAAATGATGTGCCAATATTTTGTTGGGGTAGTCCGGCGTCACTGCTCGGCAAGCTCGGCCAATCCTTTCCCGTGTGGGTGGATCGAGCGCCTCGCTTTGGGTGCTGGGCGCGGCTGGGATTTTTAGGCTGGCTGGGGCAACGGCGTTGGCTGTTGTAACGGATTCGGCTTGAAGGATGGTTCCATCGCTTTGCGGCAGCCAGTATACCTTTTCAAGGGCATCCCAATGTGGCCACTGCCTTGTGACAAGAACTTTACATGCGGCCATTGTGATGTGTGGCAAACCAAGACTTTCGACAGCCGAATGCGGCCTGGGAGTTCTCATACCCACGTGCTTTGTCCAGATCCGATCGGTGACGGGGTGGGAGTTCTCACGTAACCCACATTCTGCTTCGGAGTTGTCCCATTTCACCAGCTCGGAGACCTTCCTTCCCGCGGCCAAAGTGCCGCTCTTCGGCCAACGGGCTCGCTAAAGAGCCCGCAGAAGATGCAACTCGCAGGCAACAAGTTGGGCTATCACTCAACGGTGCTGAAAAACTGTTCGTATGATTTTGCACAAGCACGGTCTTGCTGTCGAACTCCGTAGGGTGATGCGCCCGTATTTTTTTGTTTTTTAAAGACATATTAATATTATACATTTTAAGTTTGGGGTCAAACTATTGCAAACAATGAGCTTCATGAACTTAGAACTCCGCAGCTTTTTTGTCAAAATAGTGAACTAAAACCATAAACCAAATACAGGCCTAAATAGTGAACTAAAGCAAATAAATCAAATAGTGAACTAAACCATAACCATAAACCAAATGGTGAACTAAACCATGAACAAAGCAAAATTGTTTTGCTCTTTGTTTTTCTCGCTTCAGGCCTACGACTTGCGGGCGTTGGACGCCGCACTGGGCGCCTGGGGGCGCTTGCGCGCAGCGCAATGCAGCGGCTTGCCCAAGCAGCCAGGAGCCCAGCGCGGCTTGCGCCTCGGTAGCCTCACTCCCTGAGCTCCCAAGGACTTCAGCCACTTTTTGGGGGATGGGGTTCGACCATTTCAGTGGTCTGGACACCATTTGGTCTTTAGCTTGTACCTCTCCGCGCTTGAACCTGTGGTTTGGACCCGTTTTTGGTGTATGGACAGGTTGGTGACTTTTCCTGGCCCTCGTTCGGAAGCGAGCCCTGCAATTACATCTTGCCAAACCTGGGTGAATGCAGCCTAATGACGTCCGCTAGGGCTATGGTGTTGAGGTTGTGTGTGTGTGTGTCCTTTTTCCCGGGGTGTGTTCAACAAGCATGATGGGAATGCCTTGCGGTAGTCCTGGGGCAGTGGTTGAAGAAGAAATTTTGTGGGCCCTCTTGACAATGTTACTTTTGGATTGCTCTGGAAGGTACAAACGAAGCACAGGAATCCGCCCCGCTGAAACGAGAATCCTTCAACGAATCCACTCGCATGAACCTCTGACATGCGACTCAACACCAGGGCCTCATGTTGCATGTTGACCTTTGAGTTCTAAGTGCCGCCCGCTTTTGCATGGTGTGGGGGGGGGGGGAGCCAAAATAGGGGGTTGGTTTCCTTTTCAGCATCATCCAACAGGGGCGTCTCCAGGCTTGCGCACACCCCCCTACTCCAAGTACCCTTTCTGCTTAGGGTACATGGAACAAAACTGCTTTTCCATAGAAAGTACTTTCCTGCTTTGCAAGGATGAACATCATATTTTAGGGTATTTGGAGTAGGGTTCATTTTTGTTTGCTTTGCTTCACGCATCGATCGCCAAAGCGTCGGCTTGGCTCAAAATCAGGGGACGAAAAGGAAGCCGCGTTTCTTGTGGGACCTCCTCCAATTGACGGCTTGGGGATTTGCCCTCATTCTTGTTCAGGGTAAATGGGAAGCTTCCCCCTACCCAAACCACCAATTAGATTGAAGCCGAACCATGTAGTCTCCAATACCCCTCAGGTGGACTCCAAGAAGGGCGCCGTAAGAGACACGCCTCTCATGCGCCCACTTCCGAGCCGTGAAGCCTTCATCGGAATTCATCCGGATAAGCCTAAAATTCAAGCCGGTCTTGGAGTAGTGAAATGTCTGAACATTGCTCGCCCGATTGTATGATGTATTCGCTAAACGGTTGCTGCGGCTGGATAATAATGCCCAACAAGGGAATCATGAGTCCGGGTTTTGAATTTGATATCCAAAGATAGTGTGTAATTGCTCCTTCCCCCTATTTTCGTGGTAAAGAATAAGTTTTCACTTTTTGTTGACCAATCCACTCGAGAAGTCAGAGGGAGTTATTTTGTGTCGGCGTGTTTTGGAAACGGAATTCCTTTCCAAAGGAGTTTGACGAAAAAGCAATTATAATTAATTTAGATTCAACTTAATAGGAAACAATTCACGTAGAATGTCCATCGTAGGCTAAAGCTGACATAGGATGTCACTTGAACATATGGTTTTATTTGAAGTACAACTAGCTATTGTTTGAATTGAATGAAGAAAGAATGGTGTTTCTTCTAAATGGCCTGCCACTTGCAAAAGAGTGACTAGGTCCCCCAGTAGTCCCCTTTTAGAGGGTTCCCCTACTAAATTGGACTACAGAAAAAAATCGGGTACCAACTTATTCTAACCTCTCTGCTGGAGGACCTAGGTGAACATCCAATAGACACTCTCCACCGAAAATGGCAGTTTCAGTTGGTTGACGTAGACGACTGCCATGCTCTTCCTGCCCTTTGCGGCGCCGCTCACTGAAGCGCGGCTGCTGCGGCGCCGGGATCGCTTCCTCGCTGCCCCTCGGAGTGCTCCTTTGTGGGAAGAACTTTCTGGGAAGAACCGTCTTCGTGGTCCTCTTTGACCTTGCTGGCTCCCAGCCATCCGGTTCCTTAGCTTTTTAGCTTCTTCGCGTTTAGTGGGGTTTTCCGTTTAGCCCACTAGTTAAACTTTTAGCGGGGGATCTGAGGACAGCTCAGTTACGAGAAGCCAAAAGGAGGTTCGACCGATGCCAACATGCATAGATAAATGTTTGAACCGCCCAACTCTGGAATGAGTGGTTCGTGGGATCCACGATGTACGTCATTCATGCTTCCGTCCGAATGGTGGTGGTTTGTGTCGAAGTGCTCCATTCCGGGTTCCGTGTGAAGCAGCTTGCGCTTGACCGTCCTAATTAGAGCTCACCTCGCAGATCTTCTCCAATGGACCCCAGGTCTTGCGGATCTGACCTTGGGTTTCTGATTGGGCAAATCATGGATTAGTCAAAGTAGAGAGGGAGGATAGGATGGCAACGGTGACTCCCCCTAATCGTTCTTGTCATTTGATATGCCCTCTAGATATATTGCAGGGTTTGGTTTCATTTGAATGTGGCAATGACCCCCTCGACCAGCCATGGGTGTTTGCAGAAAACGGTTGCAAAGCTTATTCCGACATGGGGTCACAACGTGGTGGGCTTCAGTCCCCTGAATATTCTGATGTCCACCAAAGGGTCCAACCAATTTCTCCGGGTTTCGATGATTTTTCAGGGTTTAGCCATTGGGGTGGCAATCGATTTACGTGCCGTGGCGTGACGGCTTTCTTGTCAAAAGCCACCTGGCGCTATGTTAAGATTGGACACCTCTCAATGGTGAAAAGGGCAGAAATCCCAATGCAAATGATGTCCACCAAAAGAGTTCCGATTCCAAATCAAGCTTCATTGATACCACATGTGCTTCTTACAAATGGACCTTCTTTTGGAGAGTTTGGGCTGGTCTTTGGTCCGACAATCAGCCCCTTTCTCCTGACGAAAATGCCTCCCCATGTGCAGCAGAGTTCAGTTTTACCAAGCCGCCGTATATATGTTTAGGGAAATTACAGCGAGCCAGGAAAAAAGATGAGCACTACCTTGGAACATCTTGGAACTGTCTTTGCCAGGGCTGTTGGGGTTGCTTTCATGCGTTTGATTTGTCGACCTCGAGCACCAAAGCAGTTTGAACAATTGGAGTCGTATGATTTTTTTCCAGGCTCCGCTTTGAGGCAGTCCGCGAATGTTTGGACGACCATGAGCAAGCCAACGAGAATCCAGGATGAATTAACCGCTGGCTGTGGCCTGATCGGAGCATTTCCAAATTTACGGGGATCCCAGTAATCGCCGGCTTGCTTGTGCGATTGTACGAGTTGGTCTGCCCAAACCGGCAAACTCACGCCATGTCCAGTGCTAGCCTCCCGCCAAGGATGTGATGCTGGACGGCAAAGAGGAAGTCGCCTACTGCGTCAACCCCGGCCGCGCCTCAACAAGACGAGAGCCAGGGAAACAAAGAGAAGTCTGTCGAAGGGAACGCAGAAAATGGTTAGCTTCCTTTGTTGGTTTCCCCAACCAACTCAAGGATGGGTTGCCCTCAAAAGGTTGATCCTCAGCTGTGCCTCAAAAAATGGGTACCAGAGGTGTTACTTTTAGACAGTACACACCCCGGTTTTTCTCCTTCTCGTCCTGTTGGACCGAGAAGTTCCGTCCTCTAGCCATACATGCGGATAAGAAGCCAGTAGACCCCTTTCCCAAGACCAGGGTTTGCCAAGGTAAATGCCTCCCTTTGTTTCGCGGGAGATCAAACAGGCAGACAGACAAGCAAACAAACATATTTATAGATATGCATTGTATAGACATATTTATATTCATAATATGGTACCCCTCCCCCACATGGACCATGGGTCCCCCAGACACTAACACCAGGGTCCATGAAAAGGTGCATTTATATATAGATATATTATATATATACACATATTGTGTATAGATATAGAGACATTCTTTTTTTTTCAGCTGGCATTTCTCCCATGGGAGATCTCACAGGCATGGAGGCCTTCAGCCGGCCCGATGCATCCATTTGGCTGTCGCCGATGGCAGGCGGATCGAGGGCTCGATGACTTCACATGGAGCGTTGGGCTTCCTTGTTGGACCCCAGTTGTTTGTTTTCCAGAAACTTTGGGACTTGGATTTTGATTAAGTAGATTTTGGCCTTGCTTTTGGTTTTCCATTCGGACCCACTTTTTGTCTTGGGAGCAGTTGGACTCTATGGATGTTTTTTTTGTTTCTCGGATTGTTCGGGAGTTGGATGTTGGTTTCATGGTTTTGTGCCTTCCTGCGTGGAGTCTGGTCTGCCTTCATGGATTTTGGAGCCCGTGGATTCGGATCTCTAACCAAGAAAGGGGGTAGAAACAAGTACTAGCTTCTAGGGACCGAGCCTCCGGGTTCCATGGCAATGTGGAAAGGCGACCCTCAAAGTCACACACATCACACACACATCACACACACACACATTGTTTTTGATTCGAAGCCCAGTCGCAAAGGAGCCATTGATTCCAAGCTGTCGACTAGGGACTCGGGCCATATCCCTGTGGCTGTTTGACCATGGGCCGCGGAATCCGTTTGTTCGCTCCCGGAGTTGGACTTTTCGGGTTTGGATGCAAGGACTCATTCGGTTGAAGTCGCCTGGGTTGCATTCGGTTCATCGCTTCCCCCTAATAAATACATCCCCCTATCCAAGGGTCTGGGAGAAACAATATTTGTTAGTGGTCCATTTATCAATAGGGGGAAGCGTTGAATCAACGAATTGAACTCTTAGGGTTGTGTCCATTGAGTCTGGTTTTTGACCTTGCATTGATTTTGCTGGAACGATCGAACGGGCAAGCTGACCCTTTAATTGGGCCTTCGAGAAAAGGATGTCCTTACTTGGGATGTTTGCTGTCTGCCATTTTTGGAAAACGCGTGCTTTCCCATTAAACAAAAGTTAAGCAAGTCTTAAAGGGCGCAGTAATTAGCCACCAAGTCTATTGGACAGGAATCACAGACCTCCAGTGCAATTGTTGAAAAACCAAGCCACTTTTCTTGGAGAGGCTTTCGCTGTAACATCAAGCTACCAACCAAAAATGGCGTTGTTTTTTTCCCCAAGCGCTGGTCCGAGTAGTGTATCCCCCTTGAGTACTGGGACCCCGGATCACATCGGAGGCAAAGGCCGCCTGCGCTGGACCTGGGAGCTGATTGAGGTGGACGGGGTTCTCTGTGGCACCAACACCCAGAGGCGCGACGGCGCGACGGAGCGCGTGGCTCGCTCGCGGCTCGAATCGTTTCTTTGGGACCCGACCTCCCGGAGGGAAAACAAAACACGGTTTGGGGTGGCTATACCTTATCACAGTTGGTGGACAACTCCTGCATTGGGATGGCTGAAGCCCTATGAATAAGTGCGTTACAACGCGTTAATGACCATACATTCAAGGATTCCAGAGTACCGGTCAGACTTGCACCAAGCAGTTGCCACCCATGTATCCCCTCAGACTAACTCAGGGGTACCAAAACGTACAGCTCGTGATCTTTCACGTTTGCTCGTTTAGTTCAAGCCGCAATCTGGAATTGCCTTTTCATCCAAGACATTGATGAGTTCAGCAAGACTGCGACTGGTGCGCAGCTGAAATCTCTTGATACACCCCGGGTCCCGGGTGGGCTACCTGTCGAAGCATGATTGGAGCACGATTTGTTGAAGCAACCTCCTTTCGGTTCCCCTCAGAGGAAGCCAGCGGTTCATTGTTTGATCAAATCTTGTCCAACCCCGCAACGCACCTTTGCAAATTGCTTCACCCTGCAACATGTGCGTGTTGTTGCATGTTGTTGCTGATCTTATGTAAATGAAAGCGCCAACTGCAAGGTGTCCCTTTGGGCGGAAGGAGGATGGCACTATATGGCTGTGGGTCAACACCAATGGTACCGTTTTGGGGTAGGTGCACCACTCATTTTTTTTTTTAGCGGGGATTGGGATGTTCACCGGGGTACGGAATTTTGACCCATGGCCATATAGCAGAAGGTTCGTACCAGATGGAAAACATGTGTTCTGCAGCAGGGAGCCTGCGCGCTAGGCCCAACATGATCGTGGGGGAGCTTCTGAGAAGGAGAATGCTGCCAGGCGAATCGGCTAAGGAGTGACGGCCCATGTGAGTTGGTTTTGACAACCCAGGAGTTTGCTGTATCTCCTTGAAAAATAGGGATTTAGAATGATTTGCTTGGGTGCGTGTTTCTTTTTGAAGCTCACCCTTTTTGAGGTCTGGCTATCCAAAAGCAAAGCCACCCATTTCCACCTGGGCATGTTAAGCCAGCCCTGCACGCCAAGGTTCTTTTTTCATGGCCGGGGTGTCCGATCTGACCATATTGAACTTACCTAAGCCATGCAAACAGAGTTCGTTTGAGACAGACCCACTGAACGGTGCTATTTGGCTTTCAGATGTGCAAGGCCTGGATGACTGGGTGGAGATGAAGAGCGAGAAGACGCTGGCGCATCCGAAACTTGAAGTGGATTTAACATATTCCAAATACCCGTCCTTTGTAGAGTACTCAATAGCAGGTGTTCATAGTAGATGCCTCCATTTCAGTCAGGGGTTGACATCAATATCGTTCAACAAGTGAGCAGGGGGTTGGTCAGTTAGTGGATGCTCGTGTTGCACTACGGCCTAGGGAACTCGACGGCTTGGTTTCCTTTTGGTTTCCCTTTAAAGCAATGCCCCCAGCGGGAAACTCCGCGGTTTTGGCTCGGGGACTTCAGCTTGCCTCGGGATGGTGAGACGATGTCCAGTTTTGGCTATTATTATGTTTTCTTTAGGGGGTGGGGGGGAAACCACTATCATGATTATCGTTACGCGAATTGGCAAAGGGGAGGGTGCCAGGAAGGAGGCGAGGATCACTTTGGTCGGGTGTTTTAGGTTCTAAGCCTTGGTTGCAGGGCAGAACCCTTGCCCGGGATGGCTTGCCTTGGAAGTTTGTGCGAAGAGGGTGGTCTGTTTGGAGGCCCAAGTGTGATTCATTCCATTTTGGTCGGGTGATCTGTTTTTTTCTCGCTTCTAACCCCTGGTTGCAGGTTGCAGAGCCCTAAGTCGAACGAGGGGTGATTCCACGCCCGGCCGGAGGTGTTGTTGTTGTGCCCGGGAGAAGCCGGAGCCCTGTTGGGATTTGTGGTTCGATGTTGGAAACCGGGACGAAAGGGCTCCATACTCCATATCCATGTAGAGAAACACAGAGAGAGAGAGAGAAACAGAGAAAGAAAGAAAGAAAGAAAGAAAGAAAGAAAGAAAGAAAGAAAGAAAGAAATACAGAAATAAATAAACAAAACAAATGAAAGAAAAAGAAGGAACTAAATAAATTCAAGACAGACCCTATGAGGTTTGCGCTCGGATGTCCATGCATTCATTGCGAATGGGAAGCCAAACCTTCGATCTACGGATTGCAATTTTTTGTGTGCTGGAATCCGCAGATGGGTTCGTCTGAGTGAGTAGGGAGGTTTTGGGTTTGAATCGCAGACCTAAAGGTCTCAGTTTCAAAGCCGACCTTTTGACCTTTTGGTTTTCCCTCGTTGGTCTATTTTTAGTAGAGGCCCCAAAAGGTTAACCAATAATAAACAGGTCCTTTGGGCAAGTGAGAAAGGCAATCAACTTGGTGTGCACTTTTACCTTGTAACATCTTCAAACCGTACTGTGTGCTTAGAACTCAAGGACTTTGATTCAACCACTTGCAGCCAAAACCCCAGTAGGTTTCCAAAAAGTGGACAGGGTAGGTGTCCCATGGCTCAGGAAAGCGGAAAAGGAAGCCAAGCCGGGCCGAAGGCGGGGTGGTTTGGCTTGGGCGCGGACCTCCTTTGGGTGTGTTTGTCCCCAAACGGGCGGCTTTCCTTTTGGCTTCCAAAACCAACTAAAAGAGGGTTCCCCAAAAAGGACAACTCCATCGGAGCCGCAAAAATCAGCGGGGGTTTTGGTTTTGGGGCACTTGGGGTTTCGCCGAGCCTTTGACCGATGATCGCGCGGTGGAAAGTTGCTTTGGCTCCCTTCGGTTTCTCTCCAAGGACGTTTGTGGAGTAACCCGGAATTGCGGATGTTTCCCCCACAGGACAGGGATAAATCATGTCCCACAACTTGTTCGGGGGGCCGATTAAAATTCACGGCCGTGTTTATGCATGACAGATAGTCGTACACTTTCAAAAACTGCAGATGTCTCCCTCCACCGAACGTTTCCCACAGGAGAGACACGTGTACCTTGTGTGAGGTCTCCCTCCTATGTTCGTTTGTGAATACGATGTTCTGGTTAGCATTGCACCCACAACTGCGCATGATCAGCACACCCGCTCAAGGGCACCCGGCCAGAGCTACGCCCACTGCACGAGACAAGCGCACTCACTGAAGCGCAAGGCAGCACTGCATTCACGCCTGCACATGATAAGGACACACTACGCGCTCCGCTGCGCCCTTTCACAGTTGTCCACGCTTGCTTTGTTGGCGGGATGTTTATGAGTCACTGGCAGTATTTGTATTCAATTGTTGGTTTGGGAAGCCTGGCAAAGGGCAAAAACCAAAGTACCCACGACGAGGCCCCGTTTGGGGAAATATTTGTGTTTCTGTCTTTGGAAGGGGGCTTGTGCAAAGCTGGGAATGCTTTGTCGTTTTGTGCTATCTTGGAAAGGGGCCAACAGAGAGTTCATCATTTTGACAAGCTATCCACTTTAGGTATGGTCACCCAATTTCCGCATGTCCTCTTCGTGAAGCAAGTTAGTCTTGTTTGAGGCTATGCCTGATGTGTTCATCTGGGGTGTTTGTATCAACATAGGACCCCTATGGCGCATGGCCCTTGTGGTTTCGCTTGAGACCCCCGGTTTTCTGAAGAGTTCAGAGGCCAAGCGGAGGCCAGCATCAGATTGGATGCGATTGCATGACGTCATCGTCTCGTGGATTTTTGTCCAAATCGTCCATGTGCGTCAAAAATATGTTTGTTTCCACCTGTTGGTTTGCAAGGCAACTCCGAATCCCAGGATCAAAACCAGGGGGAGGATGGGGTGTCCTGGTTTTCTCCGGCAGGGTTTCCTCAATTTCCCTTGTTGGGACCTCCAAAAGTGGCGATCGTTTCAGGGGAAACCACCCGTGAATTGCCACTTTTGAAGGAGCCCCTTTCCCTTTTCTTTTCTACAACATTAAATTTCCGCGTCAGATCGGCAAAAAAAATGTCCAGG